TGTTTTTATTTGTACCTGTTGTGGCAATGTGCAGGACAATGTCACCACAACGCAGGACAATGCGCACACCTCCCTGCACTGCGTTACGCTTCATTTTGAATGACACCCCAATGCACTTCTACAATAGCAGACAATGCGCCCCCATACGGAGGTGTGCCCGATTTTGGTTGCGTTGTGGTGCACTGACAGCTCATTCTATGAACGCCACGCACACACATGTACGCCACGCACACACATGTACGCCACGCACACATCATTCAGGTGCGGTAATACAATGTGGAGGGTCAGGGGGTGTCAATGGGACGTCTTCAGGACACGAGTCAGATTGATTCTTAAAATCACATTTCTAGGAAGAACTGTCGCTGTGCAGGAAGAGGTGCGGAGAGAGCGGACAGTGAGGAGGATGGAAGCCATGGGGGCATGTTGGGGATGATTGTATAGGGCAGTAGTGGCGAACCTCGGCACTTGTGATAGCAATAAAGTTAAGTGAAAAAAAATAAAAAAAATAAATATTAAATAAATTAGTACAAAATAATAAGAAATAATAATAAAAAAATAAAATGGTGATTTAAAGTGTAAAAAATAATAAGAAAAAAAAAGAGAAAATAATAAGAAAATAGTTATAAAAAAATAAACAATAATAAGATACAAAATTATAAAAAATAAAAAAAGTTAAAAAAAACAATTAAAAAAAAAGTAAAATTTGTCCTTCTAACAACCCTCTTCTTGGGGTGCACCCTCGATGAGCCTCTTTAGTATCAAAGTCTGACCAGCGTGGGAAAATGGCCGACAATGGCAGATTCTACTCCCTGAGGGTGACTGCGTCCCATAGAACATTCCCCAACGCTCACACAAGTCGGGTCATTGGAAGACGGCGTCTCCTCTCACTTGAGAAACACAAAGTACCCGAAATCAGTCGGCGATGAGAATGATTTGAACCCGTTTCTCTCTCTTTTCCCTTTGCAGGTCCAAACTGTTACGCGGATGCCGCCCAGAGGCGGGGC